GCATCAATATAATTTTGGTGTTGAAATGAACGGAAAACACTCATGTCATGGTTGACTGAGTCAAGCAGGGTGTCAACAATCTGTCATCTAACAATTGAACTCTTTGTGAATGTTGAAAAGCCTATATTAAATTCCCCCAGAAAAAAGACTCTATTAAAAGCCATGTAGGAAGGTAAAAGAATATTTTATATCATGTTTTAATTAACCAGAATTGTCTTGTTACATCTTGGGGCTCTTGAAATACATAAAGGACATGAGGAAAATGTATATACCCTTTTCAAAGCCGGTTTTATCACAGCCCTTTAGGCTTTTTGTGTTAACGTGGTGACCATAAAGTCTTCTCCAGTGGTGTTTTATTTGCCATTCCGGTAAAGTTTGCCTTATGTCGCTGGAAATGAGTTCTTTAAAGTGTTGAGAAACCACATATGTGGAAATATGTATCACTATGCACATTTTGTGTGTTAATTCTTAAGCAGTAAAAAAATAAAAAGAGCTCAAGCGATTATAGCGGCATGAAAAGGATATAAGGGAGAAACATAAAGGGAGTTGTAGATTAAAATTCCCTCAGTGTTCACTTGTTCTTCAACACATTGAATGCAAGAGTATAAATAAAACCCCATATTACCAAATACGTAGTTTGCTTAATTACCTAAAATGTTAAACTATTTTTCTTTGGTTCATTTTTGCCTCTATAGCTGGAATTCACACTGGGGATAACAAACAGACCACGTTTTTCTTTCTTAAGTGACTCTGGGGGGAAATAGCAATAGAAATTCAGTGTAGCAAAAGGGCCACACAGAGTTAAAGAGAGGACTCTGACTTCCCAGGGGACTAACCCTGAGAGTTTTCGTAGAAATCATTGGAACAAAAGATACCTCTTACCCATCTGCTGTCAAGATGTTAATCTTCTGTCATCTTTTCTTATTTTTTGCCTTTGACAGCCAACTTACAGTTGTATTTACTAACTGTCTGTACTGTAAGTATATCTATAATTATGAGACATTTTTCCACTATGACTATGTAACTGGGGTGTTTAAGAAAGAAACACCCCCAGAAGAGTTAAAGCTTTAAAGTTAATAGTACATCTGCCAAAACAGATTAGTAGCGAGTTTCCAGAACAGAACAAGTGGTCTTGATCTCTTTATCTAACACTGTGTTATGTCAAACCTTCCCTGCTTTCGGAGGAACGAGGCTTCTGGATGGAAGCTCGTATTTTGACATAGATACTTTGAGGCTGAAAATGTCAAGCAATTAATTTCACCCTTGTTTCCCAGGTTGAATATTGCTGCATTGTTTTATGGTATCCATACTAGAACAATGTCATGTATTAGTAATAGACTTGATCTAGTCTGAGAGCCCTGTGGAACTCACTGACCAAATGAACTCCAGATTAAAATATGTCAGTTATGTTGACACTTGTGAGCAGTTTTTATACATCAGCTCTCATGACCACCTCCATTATCTTCACCATGATCTTTATTAATGTATTTCAGAGACATTGGCATTAACACATGGGAACATCAAAAAATTCTGTCCAAGCAGAATTAAGTTAGTTAGAATACTCAAAGTGTAGATCTGCTTTTGAGACAGGGTATTTCTGTGTAGTCCTGGCTGTTCTGGAACTCACTGTGTAGACCAGGTTGGCCTCTAACTCAGATTCTCTTGCCTCTGCCTCCCTAATGCTGAGATTAAAGGTGTGAGTCACCACATCTGACCATGGAATGTTCTTATAATGATTTCTTTTTTATTCAGTTCTGATGAAAAATAATTTTAAAATATACTATCACCTTTAATTATAATACACATAATATCTGCTTTGTAATTTATATAACTTTGTTTTCATCAGGGTGAAAAAGCCTTTTAGAAAGAATAAGTAGTGATTGCAGGAAAAATGTTGCCAGGTTCCCAGGCTTCAGACTCCATCATTTACTAGTTGAGTGATCTGGGGCAAATAACTTCACTGTTATGTGCCACAGTTTCCTCATCTGTGAAATGGGTGGTTTGAAGGATTTAATGAGTAAATACATAAAAGATGTCTAAACTGTGTCTGACATATAGAAAAGTATTCAGTGACTATCTCAGAATAGATGTAGATGACCTGCCAATTAATGTCCCTAATTTATTAAGAATAGTTTCTTTTTCATCTGGTTTAATAAAGTTAATGGCAGTACTGACTTTTTCAAATACAAAGTACATTTTTATTATAAAAATTAAATATCTAATAACTGGTTACTATCTTTGCTACATTAGTATTGGTTGAGAACCCCTCATCAGATCTGAAAGTTTTGAATTTTATGTAGTGTGAAGGGAATATGAACTTTCGTTGTTTGTTTTTTTATGCCTTTATGTCGACTGTACTCACCATATGAGGTCACTCACTGTGAGGTCACTTATGTCAGGTCAGTTGTAGATTTTGAAGCCTTTTGGAGTTTGGATTGTACTTCTGTGACATATAGACCATTGGAAGACATTCTGTACTGTTGGTAGTCCTGTCGGTGTCCGTGTAAGAAGCCGTACGTCAGGCTTTTCGTTGTGGTGTGCATTGAGCTAAACTGGAAACTAAGGAGGATTTATTGTTTCTGTCACCTGTCACCCTATGAACTCAGCAGATGTTTTAGACCCTGGTGTTTCTCTTCCCCCTTTAGTCTTTTTCATTAAGGAGTTTTATTTTTAGATTGAGAATAAAAAGAAGTTAATTTCTTACAAAATACTGAAGTTGCAATAATTTGCTAAACACTTTTTATTTTTAAACCAATCTTCTATTTTATTTTGTTTTTTTTTAACTTTCTTTGTACCCTATGAAGAAAGAAACCATGGGGTATGATTTGTTCCGAGAACCTTAGTATTGTGCTTTCAAACCACACTGCATAATCTATCTATAATTGTTTGTCAAACAAGTGAGTTGGCAGGACAAAAAGGTCCTGCTTTGGCCGGATTTGTTTACAAAGATCTGCAGAGCATTTCGGCCATGTAAGAGAGCAAGCTGGGTGTGGAAAACACGAAGCAGAAGGGACTGTGGCAAACTGTATTTAAAGCTGGACCAAATCCCAGGGTTTGTGGACTTTGCAATGCAAAAGCATAAGCTTTAGTTGGGAGACCAGTGAATACATACTTGATGTGAGCAACAGAAACCTGAGGTATTCTAAACTATTTCTGTTTTCTGGATCAGGGAGTTAGGAAATTAAAACTATAAACACACACCTAGGTTCACAGCATATTGATGTCTGGAGGAAGTTTCAGTCACATGACTGCTGTTTGCTGTATTCTGCAGAGATTGGAAATTGACAAAGCCCCGAGGCTCTAAGAGGTGCTTGCAAATGCAACTGTGTTGTAAATTTGTAAGCTGTTGAAGGAGTTTCTCATTTTCTGCCAGAGCATTTGCAACCTTTCTAACTGGATAAAAAAAAAGCATTCTGGAAGTCACAGGGTCTGTATTACTCAGGTGTGGGGTCCTTGCTGCCAGGGAGACACTTCACTGGCTGTGCCTCTGACTTGTTTCCAGACTTCAGGAGGTGCTGGGTTTCGGAAAGCAGCCAGGGCAATGAATGCTAATACAGCAAGTGCTGTCCTATGAGCTGAAAGCACGTGGGTTTGATAACATTAGGACACTCCACAGGACATTCCCTCTGTGGGATCGCTATTTATATTATGATGCTTAATTCTTATCATCTCCCGCCTCTTTTCAAGCTTTGCTATAAACTATCCAAATCAAGAAAGTTAACCTGCGAAAACCCTTTTCCTTTTTCTAAGAGTTTTGACATTGGGCTTCTTTTAGTCCAGAGAACGGCCCCCCTTTCTTTCTCCTGTCCTTTGCTGGTGGTACACAATGTTAGTTTTATGCTGTGCGCATTGCTATCTAAATAAGGAAGTATCTCCACCTTTATTTCATGTGTGATGACAGTTTCGCCTTTTGTGAATAAAGATCATCACAATCAACTTAAGTTTAAAATATTTGAAGATGAACAATTTCATAAATTCTTTGGAAAGTGTGTGTGTGTGTGTGTGTGTGTGTGTGTGTGTGTGTGTTACTAATAGGTATATCATCACCAAATCTGGACCAGTCTTGAAATCAGTAAGATCTATTAATAAAATGCATCATGTTAACAAAATGCTGCAGATCAGTTTGAAAAATTCTGTGATGAAAGAATGCATCTTGTAGAGAACCATGTGGTGTTTGTTGCTCTAGGCATTTGATGAGAGGCACCGCGCAAAGGGTTGTTAATGCTTAAAATCATCTGTATCCTCTGCAACCACTATGTGCTGCTCAAAAACAACTTCTGGGAACTTTGCTGCTCTTCCTCTTTTCCTGGTTTGTGTCTTCTGTCCTGGCATCCTGATCCATGCCCCTCACGCTCCTCATATATCAGTGTTCAAGTCGACGTGGAAGGGTCTGTATTGTTCACTCACACTTCTGTGAAGTTGTTACAGCATCCTTGTGCTCTCTATGCCTTTGGGGCCTCAGGTTAGATTCCAAAGCTAGTTGTACTTGGTGTTCCCTTAATGGAAAGGGTTTGTAAGGCGTTTACTAAACTCAAGTATTCTTAAGGACTGTATCTAAGTGGCTGCTAATTGCATCTGATAAGCATTTTCATGCCACTTATGTGTATTAAGTAAAATGAAATCTAAGGTTTGTTCTAACAACTCTCAATTAGTTATAACTATCGTTTCATATTTTTTAATAGGAGTCAATGTTACTACACTAAGGTTCAAGAATCAAATTGATGCTACTACACCTTAACTTTCAATTATTACTCGATTGTAATCACAATGAAACCATATTAAATCTTTTGAAATAGAAAATTTTCTAACAATCACTTTACCTAACCAAATGTCTTGTAAAAAAACGTTCTTTCCCCTCTCCTTTGCTGTCTTGGTTCATTTCATGTATCTTTTACATAATAGACCTGAACTGCCTTGTGTTGAAGGAGGAGGCTGTGTGACGTTTTAGCAGCTTTCCATGTGATGGAATTTAACCTCAGCTTATGTCTCTCCCTACACAGTCCCTTCAGTCTGAATATGTCCATTACTAAGAAGGCCTTGCCACTCCAGTGAAGGCGGTTCCATTCTTAGACATCTGGACATGCAATGTGGAGGGGACCAGCTGCTTTCCCGGAGGATGTCTCTATCTTCTTACCTTAGAGAGTGTTAAACATAGCACCGTTGAGAGACTTGAGGCCAGAGCACTGGCTAATGACTACTATAAATGCACTGCAATGATCTTTATGGAGATGTCCATACAGTTTTAATGTTGAATTTGGTATTTTAAAAGGTTATTTTTAATGTATTTCGGTAATACGTTTGTTACTGCATTTACATGTACAGTGTTACATTATATATGTATCATGAACTTTATAAAAGACTATTTTGATAATTTTATAAATATATAAAATTATGTAAAAGCTAGACTATATTTTGATTTAGACTTTCCTGCTGTTTGCTACCAAAAATTTGTATTTTAAATTGTTTAGCTTTAGTATGGTTTTGTCTACAATGAGTAAATAATTCTTCCTTAATAAGTGAAAGTGAGGGAGTAGATTTTTAGAAAGTGACTTTAATGCTCCCCCTATGAATTCAGTAAACCAGAACATTCTCTCTTGAAGTCTGTCTGAACTGGAGTTCATTCAAACTTATCTCTACCAAGAGTGCCGTTGTTTGGTGGGGTTTGTTAGGAAAACACATTTCCCCCTTTGTTTTTGTTCTTGAACCTTTTGAATAGGAGGCTCAAAAAAAAACGAAAACCAAAAAAAAAAAAAAACCTTTAGCATCTCTTTAAGACCAGAAATCACTTCGAGTCTCTCCTGGAAGCCTGGCTTTTTTCCCCCTCTATGAAATGACAGAACATTCCAAATGCTTTTATTTCTTTCCTCTTTCATGAGTGCTTAAAAAAAAATGCCTTAAACCATGTGTTTTGCTTCTACCTTCTTGTAAAAATGCAAAGGAAGGATAGGGATTTTAAGATACTTGTCTACGGTTTGTAAGAACACTCTTAGTAATGCACCGTAATGCTGTTAAAGACCAAAAGGCACTTGAACGCCCAGAGCGTACTTTTGGGTATGAGATGGGCATCGCCTTGTGAGCATGCATGTTCTGATGTCAGTTTCAAAGCAATGAAGGGATAAACCGAAGAAAATGCTGCTAAGTAGATGGGTACACTAAAGGAACACATGCCCCTGATGTACACACAGCTCTGTCCAGAACCGGATGTCAAAGTGAAAGGGCCCCCGGGGGTACGCTCAGCCCTTTCATGTGAGTATGATTCCAAATTTGTCCCCAGAAGCCTTCCTTTTGGCTTCTTGTCTATATGAGATAGAGTCTCAGATACTGATTCTCTTCCAGGCTGCTTGCGAATGGGCAAGGGCTAGTTAAATTGGTTTCATACAAAGTGCTTTATTCCAGCCATTGTGTTATTTATAATGTATTTCTTAGGAGGGGATATCTTCAGACTAGTATATAGGCTTCAGTAAGATGCCTTGTTCATGTTTTACACTTTAAAAAAGGCATTGGAATGAATGTTTGACTCAGGTTTGTTAACATAATTTTCCGTAACTGCAGTACCAAATAATTACACTCACCTGATGGAAAGTTGAGTTATATGTTTTTAGAATCAAATACATAAAAGGAATTAAATTGTATATCTTTTCTAAAGATGAAAAGTCAAATATTTTATTGTGAGTTATTATTTTAAAAAGTTAGTTTCTTGTATAGGAAGAAAATACTATTTCTTTCAAATTATCATTGAAAAATAATTGAGTCAACATTTGAGATGTGGGGGAAGAGAACCATATCATCATTTTTAGTTGTTCTATGAACACCAATGAGTGCAGCTACTAAAATGATTGTAAAGTTGACTACTGCAAATTTTCCATAATTATGTGTGTATATATGTCATATGTATCTACATGTGTATGTCTTAAGCTTATTTATACACATGAACATACATAAGGCACACCAAGAAGGGGATGTATATAATATAGAGTTTATATAGCAGAGAGATTCTCCACTTATAATAAAAAATGTTTGCCATGTATTTTGTTATGAATAGTTTATCTCCCAGAAGATATTTTGTTCTATTTTGAAGTGTAGAAGAATACACTGCTAATAAATAAAAGTTTTATGCAATTTACTTCTGGACATTCATCATTTCAATTTTGAGTTGTTTGTGTACTTAAGTCTCTTTGTAATTTTAGTTTTGGCTCCTTGTGGTTGACTCCTTTGTCTTCCTTGGGCTCGGAACCTTTGACTTTCAGTTTTGTATTGCTCTCTTTGAGCTGTTCCTCATGCACAAGACCACATGCTCAGAGCAACTGTGTACTTTGAATCTCACAAGCATCAAAGAATATTGGATTCCTTGTCTCTGTTTTTATAGCTTTCTGTTAATAAAATATCATTAAGGATCCAGAGCTATGGTCCTGCTATGTCATTGTGACTATCAATGATGCTTGCACAGAATGCTGGAATCGGTTCCTTTTGAAGAAGAAGGACCATTTTTCTTAAAGGGAAATTACAGAAGTAAATTAGATGAGCTAGTAAGGTAATCACATCTTACCTGTTCCAGAAAGCGCAGAGAAACCTTTCCTATAGATGGGAAGGAGTGTAACATCTGAAGGTTTCATTTTTCCCTCGTCTCAGTGCTGGAGGTTGAGCCCCAGATTTCATGTTAGGCAAACTCTTTACACTACAATTGCAGCTTATGTCTAGAACTGGGAATTCACAGTTTGTTCATTCTCATGAAGGGAATGAAGCAGCTGAGGTCAAAGGTTATTACGGGATAGCCTCTTACAGATTTTTTTTTTTTTTTAAGAGACGAACATGGACCTGTTTCAAAGAATAGAAAAATCTTTGGTATAGTTTGAATTACTGTGGAAAAGGAGGCTAAAATGAATGGTGTTAGCACACCTCATCAAACTCTTCACCAACTGGTCATTGCAGTTATGTGGCACTGTTATCCTTAAATGCAGAATGATTTGTCAGTCTTAAAACACATCTGGAAAAACTGACCAGTTTTTTATGTGTTTAATCCATGGCTCAAGTACAGCAGGAATATGGGTTTACCAACAACACACACACACACACACATAAAATACACATCATATATATATATTATGTATATTATATATATGTATGTATATCATGTTATTTGTATCATATATATGTTATGTGATATATATGATATAAATTATATATATATATATATATATATATAATAATTTTTTCCTTTTTCTTTTTTTGGTTTTTCAGGATTTCTCTATGTAGCCTTGGCTGTCCTGAAATTCACTCTATAGTCCAGGCTGGCCTCAGAGATCCACCTGCCTCTGCCTCCCAAGTACTGGGATTAAATGTGCACACCACCACCACCCAGCACATAATACACTTTAGGATTGTCCTTATGGTCACATGTTCAGTCATCTCTACGCAAAATGTTTCTCTGTCAGTTGGTGTGTGAATCCAACAGAACTCTCTAGTGCTGCAAGGGCCTTGTAGTTCTCTTCCCAATGCATAGTAAAGCAAGAATATGTTCACTGGATGTCTTTTCTGAAGATTAAATAGGAGTAATTACAATTTAGACAGAATTTCATTAAAAGATTGAACTACTTTATTTATAAAGGGGTTGAATATAGAGGGCAGCAGCCATGACGTATGAAGGAAAGTGGAAAATAATGTATTAAGTTATTTTGAACCAAATTGAAATGTTAATATATTCCCACCTGGTTCCTCCTCTATGGATTGAATTATGATAATCAGATCAAGAAGGAGAAAAATAGCTTTTCTAGAACATTTTAAACGTTTTTCTTTTGGTAAGTAGAAAGAATGACATTTAAAGCAAAATATATATCTTTGGGGGGGCAGTTTGTTTTAAACGGACATTTTTCACACCCATGGCTTGTTTTAACTTACATATCACTAATATCAAGGCAAGTGACATCAGCATTAGCCTTTCCCCTTGAGTTTTAGGCAAGTTGACCAAAATATGTTTGAGCAGTGAGACTGCAAGGGAGAGTGTGGAATGAGAACTATTAATAATTGTAAAAATGGCTGCAAACACCTAAGCAAGTAACACCTAGTAATAACTGCAGCATTTATGTGAAAACTCCAGAACGGAAGAGAATGGAGGTTATCAATCAAGATAGGGCAGGGCTTCAGAAAATGGCAGTGGAGAACATTGGAACTGGACACCAATTCCTGAAGCAGCTGATATTAGCACTTAGTAGTGAGATATGCCAAGATATCTATCATCCTTTCCTAGTCTACACAAGTTAAAAATACACCTTTAGTCCACTCCAGTGCTCTGAGATTTATTGTGCTCAAAAATTTAAGAATTTTTCTCGTTAGTCAGTTTTAACATCCAGATTCCCCAAAAACTGAAAAAAATCAAAACCAGAGACCATGATAGTATAATGAGTTGTCTGTCTATCTATCTATTGATCATCTATGTCTTCACCTGACTATCACCTACTTGGCCCCTAAAAGGTATATTGTAGCATTTCCCTTAAGAATTGGCAAGTCAGATAAAACCTGGAAGCATCAGAGGCTTCAGAGACTAAAGATTAAAGGGGCTGGTTTCCTGTTGTCATTGTAGGGTGAGAGGTGGAGCAGGACACTGCATTCTATCTGACTTTCCTACAGGCAGAGAGCCTTTTACTATCACTGGATACAATTTAAAAGTATAGCCATAGCCCAAGAGGAACATTGCTGTTTTTAGTTTTCCCTCAGTTCTAGGGAGATGTGATCCCGTTGACTTTGCCTATTGAATTTTGAGGCAGCTCTAACAAGGCACCCTGTCTAAGTGTCCAGCTGGGTTAGACTGGCCTGGCCTTTTCTGACCAGAGGAAAGGTTTAATTCCCTTCCTCTCTCTTCCTTCATACCAGTCTTGGGCAACTAATCTTGACTTTTCATGCTGCTTTTGGTCAACTAGGAGTCTATGTCACATTTAGACTATGGGCCTTCCTTCCATGGCCAGAATGGAGTCACACAGTAACACTGAAGAAACAGACATGACTTTAGAAGACGTATTGGTGGTAAAAGCAGGGGCTTTTACCTTGTGTCACCAGGAGCCTTTGCTTGGGCTGCAGGAGAGTCTCTAGGATATTGTAGCAAATGCCAGATGAGGGACAATATTGTGTCAGGACAAGAACTGGAACTGCTAAGCACAATCTTGAAAGTCAACTAAGATGACAAATGGTGACTTCTGGAGAGCTTGGTCTATTTTAAAGTCAAATCTGCTGGGGAAATTATTCTTAATTAAGGATTCCTGTTTAAGTGACAGGTTGTTAGGATTGCTAATCTTAAGGTAAAACAAAAGAGGAAAAGTTCACCCACCAGGTCTGCAGGAGAGAAAAAGTCAACAGCTAAGTCAGGATCTGAAACCAGGGAAAGCCCTGTGTATTGGGGATCCCCAAGACCCCTTCCAGTTTCTGTGACTCAGGAAATCCAAGAAGGAGTACAATGTAAGTGGAGAAAAGGCTGAAGTCTCAGCTTCAGATCCAGTCTTCAAGGAGTCCTCTCCTAGTAGAGCCCAGAACACCATCCCCCAGTAATGATCGGTGACAATAGGAAGTGCTGATGACTGGGAAACCCCTAATAGACCAAGGAGCCAAGGGTGTTATTGGTGGTCGTGTGCTCACCCTGCCCAGCAGCAGCAACAGGATTCTAGGCTCCTAGAAGGAAAGCAAGAACTCAAATAAGACAAGTCGGTTGCATAATCCAGGCATGGAAAACCACTTGTACCATTGCAGGGAGTTTTAATTTTTATATTTTAATTTAAATTAAATTCTATCAGCCTCCTTCCCCTTCCCTCTCTGCTTTCGTCCCTGGAACCCCTTCCATGTATGTCTCCACTCTCAAGTCGATAGCCTGTTTTTTTTTTTTAATACTATTGTTACATGTATGTGTATGTATGTATATATATGCACAAATATATAGAGATACAATCTGCTGAGTCTGTTTTTGTTGGTGGTGTGTCCACATGGTTTCAAGACTAGTAAGGAAGCTCATTGCTGGGAGAGTCTAATTTTCCTCCTAGCAGACATTAGCTGCCTGCAGTTCTATGTCTAGGGTTGGGACCCTGCAAAAAACTCACCCTTCCACAATTAACATGTCCATTGCCATTGTCTTGCTTATGCAGCCATTTCTAGGAGAGAATTTCACAACAGACTTCCTAGTACTCTGGCTCTTACATTCTTTCTGACCACCACTTCAGAGAGGAGCCGATGTTATAAAAGCTATGATGGGAAGTTTTGCACAGCTTACCTTTGGAGTTCTCAAGCAGAAGCCCAGCCCAACCTTGTCAGTAGGTCTTTGCAGGGATGGCTATTTTAACACTTGAATGCACATCCTGTACCTATTAAATCTGTAGGAACTAAAGCATATTGAAATGAATGTGTAGGTCCATAAGAAGTTGACTCCAATCCTGCATGTCTGGTACCACAGAGGCCAGAAGAGGGTATCAGATCCCCTGGAACTAGAGTTACAGAGGGTCGCAGTCACCATGTGGGTGCTGGGACTCACACCCAGGTCCTCTGGAAGAGCAACAAGTGCTCTGAATTGTTGAGCCATCTCTATAGGCTCTATTTAAAATTTTAAAACCAAGTCTTTAAAAAGTGCTTTTACATCTTAAGCTATTTCCTAACATATGTTTACTTATGTATCTTTTCATTTTCTCACCACCGTGCTCAAATATCTGACAAAGCAACCTACAGAAGGATTCATTTTGCCTCATGGTTTGAGGGCGTGGTTCATTATGATGGGAGGGCATGGCGGCAGGTGGTTGGAGGCGGTGAAAGCAGGAGCAGAAGGTTGCTTTCTCACATCAGAGATGGGACAGGAAGAGGAGCTGGCCTGGAGACCTCATGACCTCACGGATGCATTTCCTCTAGTTAGGTGTCAAGTCCTAAAAACTTTAGAACCTCTCAGAACACGGCTGCCAGCTGGGGACCCAGTATTCAAACATATCGGTTGGTGAAGACCATTTACATACAAATTTTTTTTTCATAATGATTATTTTTAATAATGTAATATAAAGCAAAACCCAACGCATTGGAATTGGGCAAAACAAACAAATAAACAGAAGGAAAACAGCCCAAGAGAAGGTACAAGAATCCGAGACCCACTCATTCACACAGTCA